CTAACAATGATTTCCTCAGCAGGCATAAAGCAAACTTTTTTTTCCCTACATCATCCTTTTTTTGCATCATCCTTTTTGCATCATCCTTTTTGCACAACCAGCCATCCCCCTTCTTTTCAGCAACCAACCCCACTCAGAGGGAACACATCCGTGCTTTTCCCAGTACTGGAGATACTTATGCCACCCTCTCAGGGAGAGTGCAGTTATCATTACTGATGTGCTAAGTCAACATGCTGACATTCAGGTGATGGCCTCAAGTTCAGGAGGACAAAGTATGGAGGTCACCTGGGCTTCATTGTAAAAAGCAGCTGTAGACAAAGGTGCCAATAGCTGAGCATGTGAATGTCACCATTCAGGATTATTCTCTGTTAGACTGGCTGACTTTTAGCCTTTTGCACCACCCTGTTTCAACCACATTTAATCATGATGTTAGTCTTCTTGTAGATGGGAGGACCATCAATGCTATCATTGCAAGCAGTTGCAAGCATTCTTTTCCCTTCATACAAATATTTTCAGCTTAAAAAGACTGAAGTTTGGGGCTCAGGTTGTCCCACCTGGATCAAGCCACCTGCTCAAGTACTCTGTATGTGACCAGTGCCTGCCCTATCACCTGCCTAATCACTACAGACACAGTTCATTGTAAAGCCAGGAATAGCAGGGAGATGCTCTAAAGAACAATGCTTCCTCGCCCAAGGAAACACCAGCTAAGTGAGAAATGAAAATCACTTTTTCTGATGTGAAGAGCAAAGGGAGGCCAGCATTGTTTGTACACCCCTTGTCATAGCAGGAGGTATCACTAAAAGCTGCTGCCCTTCAGGAACCCTGGGGAAAGGGCACTTGGCTTCATTTGAGTGTGTGTGGATGTGTGTATGCACGTGGTGCTGCACAGTTTACACCTGTATCAAAAGACACCCTCTTTCCAATCCTCCAATAATGCAATTCATAAAAATAGCTCAGGTGTGTTATTCAGCAAGTAAAATGGAAAGAAAATTACCAAGCAACAGGGATCCCTTTTTGGGTGGATCTAGTAGACAGAAGAAAGTAACAGAAGAGGAAGGCAGGTGTTTTAACTCTCCCAGTGTCATATCTTCCTTACTTCATTTGGAAGGTAAAAGAATTACTGAATTAGAGACATCTATTTTCGCTTCCTATCTCTACATTATAGGTTTTAAGGGCATAGCAAAGGGACAAACTTCCCTTCCCCCCTCAGCTTCACTTTCAGCTTATATAATTTTCTAAACCCAGATGAGTTTGTCCTGCAACTGCAAGATAAGGAGATATTCAGCTTAAATTCAGATAACCCTGCAGGTAATTCAGTCAGAAAGAACAGCCAGGAAAATTTTGCAAAATGGATTTATATACCCAACATCCACTCAACAAGCAACACTGATACCATGACTCCTTGGAAGACAATGGGGGAGTGGCCAAGAGTTTACTGCAGAACAGTCCAAACATATGTAGCTCCCATATTTAGTCTCCTTTGGAGTCAATTCCTCACCTTTGTTTGAACATTATGTGTTCAGGACTAGGTGCTGACCCAGGAGCAGATCCTCAGCTTGCTGACTCCACCACTCCATCAGTGGAAGCAAAATTCATGCTGGAGTCCCAGACTTGTTGCAAATGCTGTCTCCTCAGGAACAGAGCACTAAACTGTCATTTAAATCCACTTTGGTGTGCCCATGTTTCCGTAACCATGAGATACACTCCCTGCACAGCAAAGCAAGTCAGGTCTTTGGCCAGAAGGCCCTGAGTCCGAGGTAACACATAACATCAAAGTGCAGCAAAGTTTTGTACATCTTCTCAAGCTGGAATGAAATATTGACAGGCAACTTGCTCATCTTGCATAGCTTCAACAGCCAAGAATACTTCAGTCATCAGAAAACATGCACAAGTTGTAATGAAAAGCCTTCCAAGAGGAAACAAGCTTCTAGTTTCCCGGAGAGAAAGTGGGAGGACTTAGAAAACAATTAACACTCAAGCTGGAAAAAAAATATTTTTAGTGCTGTGTGAATTATGTTTGAAAATATGCTTTAAAATATGCTGCCTAGAGGGGAACCATCAACAGGCTGTATGACCAGGAAAGCCAAGGTGGCATTATTTCAGAGAACATGACTGCAAAATGCTTCATCACAGTTTGTAGGATGTTTAAAAAGAGAATTTTCCCTGAAAATACATAGCAGTCCTGTGACGCACACATGAAAGTCCACTCACTCTTTACTGCAGCAGCTCACTGGACCAGAATTAATGCCATGGATTGTGTTAACTTTTTTTTTTAACTCGAAAATAAATTACTGTTGGGTAAACAAAGGAGAAGCTTTACTTTCTTTTGATGTTCTAACTGAAGAAAGAACACCAGGCTTCTCTAGGTGGCAATGAGCTCTGTAGTGGTAAACATCATGGCCTCCCCACTTTAGAAGGGAAAAGTAAAGTCCAAAATGAGGCAAGACTGAGCACAACCAATGTCCTGTGTCACTGCAGCTACAGACCACAAGGCCTGCTGAAACAGTGGATACAGGAAAGCCCTTGGTCTGGTTTGCAGTTCTACTCTCTACACCACTTTCTTTGAAGTGCATCAGCAATACCATGCTAAAATTTGAAATGGATTAATGGAACAGAGAGTTAACTCTTCAGAGAAGATCCCTTTGGAAAAAAAGGGTTTTTTTTCAATCATTCATTTTGACAATGCCCTTCTAACAAGGTAATTTTGGTCAATCCAGGTTTTTAAATACTGTTTATTTTTAAAAGAAACCATAAAATATGACAACAGGACAATGGGCGTCATTCAGCAATATCAGTTTTGGGTCTATAGAGGAAATTAATAAAAACCATCAGCATTTAAAAAAAATATGACTAACCATATGGAAAACAGGAAAAACAAAATTCATCTTCAACAACACAGACAGATATAAATGCTGAAATGTTGCTGTGCAAGGTAGAGGTAGAGGTAGAGGTTAACCAGACTTTTCTAACCTAGACCAGTTTTAGATCTGCCCCCCCTCCATGCACACACTCCCAAAAGTTCCTGTTGCCAGTAATTTCATTTGAATCAGCCTGTCAGCTTCATCAAACTCAAACAAGTCTGTGAGTTCCTTGTAATGCTCTGAGCTGGAAAACTATTTCAGTTTTCTGTAGAAATTAGTTGCTGAGCAACCTGCCCCCAGGTTTTGCAACTTGTGCAGCAAAGGAAGAGGCAGGAAGATTACACAGACCAATAAAATACTCTCTGGATGATGCCCACTAGGACAAGTAGATGGTAGAGCCCTTTTAGGAATTGCAATAGTCCATCAGCTCCTTGGTGATGCACCCAGAGAACATGCAACACTGCACTTGGGGTTCCTCCACTGGAGAGAGCATGGTCAGCAGAAATATCCCAAATCAATAGGTACTTGCTGTGGGAGAGCCGATTGCTTAATACAGTCTGTTGATACCGAAAACTCACATGGTAGGGCACAACTCAAGAACCCTCTGTACAAAGCAGTAAGTGTCTTGACATAGTTAAATATAAAAACTAAAAATTGCACTGCACACAGATTTTCCAAACGAATTCAAGACAGCTGAAGTCAGATCGTACAAACCGTTAGTTAAAAAAATACCTTCTTGAATATTTTGAGAAGTGGAAAGAGTCTTCGTGCAAATGTTCAGCCTTAGTCAAGCAGAGGACATAAAATTGTAAACGCATTAGTTCCTTTCTCATCTGCTGTATGCACCCAACGTTATCTATCTTCCGCAGTATGATTAGGGTTAGAAAATTGGTTTCTTCTGTAAATGTCCCCTTTCCAGTTCCACTGATGTAACATCAAGACACTACTGGTGTCATATCCCACAACTGTCAATACAATAAAATATAACAACATAGTGAATAATGGTTAAAGACAATAAAATACAGTATAAATATAATCTTTAAATAATTTGCACCTTTTTTCTTTGCTTAAGAGGGGCTACATGGTTAGAGGCGTATGCAACACGTCTGAAGAAGTTTGATTTCCTTTTCCACCACTCGTGTCAGAGTGGTGGAGGTTGACCAAATGACACTCTGTATGTCACTATGTTTTATCCCTATGAGTCAGGTTCATAGCTGGCCTTAAAAGAAACCAAAAAACTCCCATTACATTGCTAACTTGAATGATCAGCGTATTCATAACACATTGTGAGGATTTTTCTTTTTTAAATTAATCAAGCTATAATAAGTTATAAACTTATTCATTATTTTAGCTATTTCTTTATCTAACCACACTGAGATTTGCCATGTTGAAAAAAAGTTGGTCTTCCTGGAGGAAAAGTTACAGTTAGAACTTGTCCCAGCCTCCTTCAGGCAATAACTTTATAGACCAAGACCTCCTTGGTACTTATTGGGTGGAAATCCACTAGTGAGAAGCCTCTTGTGTGGAGGAAGGCAGACAGGACATAGCTGCAGCCACATGGGAGAGTAACGGGAAATGAAATACAGGAGCTAGAGCACATTTCTTGCTCCTACCTTAATAACCTTGTCTGTCCCCGAGGTCAACAGCCATCCCCTGGTGGCATCAAAGTGTACGTGAACAATGTTGTGCTTACTGTCATGGAAAGTAGCTGTAGGCGCCCGCCTGAAGAAAGAAATCCAAAAATCAACAAGAACTGTAACTGCAGGATTTTCCCCAAAATTTTTCTCTATCGAGGGAATAACTATCTGACTGCTGCTGTAAGCCATTAATTCAGCAACCACTCCGTAAACTCTACCTTGAGACCTTTTCTGGCATGAAAGGAACAGGGTGGAGGAGGGTTCCTCTATCCCTCCTGGCTTGATAGCCACCCCAGAGGCTTATCTTGCTGAAAAAGCCCAGGGATCACCATGCCGGGCTGCTCCCTCCTGGAGCTTCGCATCTGCCCAGGCCCTTCCAGATGCAGATGCAGATGTTTTGCCCCATTCCAGTGCAAGCTGGCTCGGTGTCCACACTTACTCTTCATCTGTTATGGACTCGTGACAGCTGTCGCAGACCCTCACTTCAAACTCAAACCCCATCAGTGGGATGGAGGAGCGCTTGGAGCTGCATTTGCCGCACACGGCTTTTCCACACTTCCGGCAGTGATGCTGTAGGAGACAACATGCAGAAAGACATCTTAAGTCACAAACCCAGATCAGGTCACAGCTCAGGTCCCACTGGTTGTACTGTCTCATTCCAGCAAGACCCAGCCAAGGCTGCAGCAAACAGGAAAGCTTCTCAAACTCCAGGAGAACATGGAGCACTTTTTCACCCCTTTCCCGAAAGTCTCTGTCTGCAGCCCTCTCCTGCTGAGCAGGAAAACACAGCAGCATGTTTCAAGCAGACCAATAAGCCTTTTCCAATACAGCCTGAGGAGTTACACATGTTTACCCAAACTGTTTGAAAACTGCTTTCGTTCCAGCACGATCTCTAAAAATCTGCCGCAAATTTCTTTCTATAACACATTTGATTAAAATAAGCAAAATCCCATGTGGCTAAAGCCATGGAAGGCCCCAAAACAATCTACTCAGCCCAAGACATGCTTTTGCTATTGGGACTGGTTGGAAAAACAAAAGTGTGTTCCTCACAACCCAAAACCCAGCCTCATCAGAGGGGCGTTCACTGTCCCACTACTGAGCATTGAGTGGAAAAACGAAGTGCAAGTTCTCAAAGCTTTAGGGAGAAAAAGGCTACCACAATCTATTATGAGAGGAAAGCCTGACTGCAATATGTTAACCCATCAAAGGACACATACAAACCTGCCTGAGGCCTATTTTCTTACTGTCCCACATTTGCTTGAAGTTCCAGAAGAAAGGCTGGTCACATTTTTGACAGGAATCACTATCCAGCCACTCGGGGGTCTGCAACACACATGCACGTAAACACAAAGTGGAATTGAGCAACAAACAGAAAAACTTCCAATGGAGCCTAAAGGTAGGACAAGAAAGATGTATTGTCATGTGGCAATATGGCCAGCTAAACTTGATTTAAAATCTCCATTTTCACAGGATGCCATTTTGACTGTTCCCTGGGATGTCTTTTTTGGCTTATCTCTGAGCTTTGAAGGACATGGGAGGAACACTTTGCACACAAATCATGAAGAAGAGTTTGATAATAAGACCACAGAAATAACCCGGGAACAAACCAGCCTCCCCCATATCTCCAGTTCTGGAATTAAGCATGTAAGAATACTTTGTCCTGTCCTGTCTGGACAGCATTTACCACCTGCTATTGCCTCTGATGGAAACTGGGGGCAATTAATATTTCCAATAGCCAAGAAACTCATCTGAAGGGAAAGGGGAGTTACTGGAAATACTGATGTGGTTTGGGTTTTTCATATTCTTTCTTTCTTTAATACCGTAAGAGGTGTTCCTGCTGTCAGAGGTACCTGTGCTACAAATCACACATAGGGGTCAGAAAGATGAGATCATCTGAACAAGTCTAAGACCAAAACCAGCTCTTTTCTCTACTTTTACAAAAGACAAGGGAAGGCAGGTCTCCTATTTCCTAACATGGTGTGAACCTTTGCACTCATGCTGTGGATAGCACAGGTAAGAAGAATTAAAGAAAATAAAGACTATATTAAAGGCACTTCTCTCTCCTGCAGCCAGGTTTTGCTGTGCAAAGTAGCATGGATCAGATGCCCTGTAGGGAAGCAAGTCTTGCCAGATCCTGAAAGAGCTCAGGAGATGCCTGAAGTAGCAGGAGAGCACATGGAAGGGTCAGTCATTCTCCTCCACTGCATTTGGGTTCTCTGACACTTGTCTTGCACTGAGCTGCTGAGGGGCATGCAGTGCATCCCCCCACAGCGTTTAGGAAACCCTCCAGGGGACATGAGACTTGGGAAGAGTCCTGGTTCTTGACCCCTCTCCAGATGGCAGCAGTTTTTCTGTCCTAATCTGGCCTAGTGAGAATGACACTTCTTCCCCAACAGACAACTTCTGCTCCTTTTTCTGCCCCAACAGAGCAAGAGCTCCGTCCAAAGCTGGTCCTGGTAAGTTGGTCCATCCTGTGTCTCCTGTGGAGCAGCCCCAGGCAGATCATGACAGCCCTGCCAGTGTCTGCAACACTGCAACATGTTCCCACTAGTCCTATCAACACATGAGATTAAATAAACATTAACTAGTGTTTCATACATTGTGAGGAAGCAATTAGCAAATTTCAGTTGTTGTATCAGAGCCACTCATTTCTCACATGCTGCAAATTAAAATGGCAAGACACACTGCTGAGATTAGGAACTAATACTCATAGAAAAGCCAGACAGATATAAGTTAAGGGCAGATGGAGACCCTCAGCTCCAAGGATATCTTTTATCCCCGACAATAAAGCAATCACCTGCTTCATATTCTTCTGCCAGTTATTCTGAAGGCTGTTCATTCTGCTGGGGCAAATCTTTGTCTTTTCTACCCACAAGAGTCTTTCTGTTTAATGCCTACAGTTTTACGTCTGTGTGTATAACTTTTCGTCTCTTAAGTATTTGAACACTATAGAGGAAGAAGACATTTTGCTTGTGACAAGTAACCACTTTGTAGTCAGATAGAAACACAGCTTCTAGCATCTTTCAGATGTTGTCTTCTTACAGCTTTTTAAAAATAGAGTTGAAAATGAAGAAATTACTTAATTCACTCTAATGCAATCTCAAAGATGTGGGAAAATCTGATACAATAATGTGAGTACTGAGGACACATCACATGGAGAAAACCTTTACACAAGGGCAAAAATACCAAAGCCGAAATCCAGAAGAAGGTGCTCTAGGACCCCAAACCAAGATTTGGTATTAAAATCTCGAAGATTCATGTTTTGGGAGTGGTTTGGCACCAACAACACCCTATTGTGCTACTGATAACAAGAACAAGCCCACATAGCCATAGGCTGAGAAAGCAGAGCATCCATTAGCACCTGCTGCTAGGCCTTCATTTAGCTAATTATATTTCTCCTCTATTTTTTAAACCAGCCTTCTCATAGCATTGCGGCATGTTTTGTGACAAGCAAACCCTTACTGCAGCCTTCTGAAGGCAGCAAATAAATAAAGGTTTTAATTTCTGGATGTTCAAGTTGCAGCAAAAAGGAAACATCTGTTGGGAAGGAGGAAACCACTCTGCATTCATTTCACTTTAGGGGCTGATGACATACTTGGCCATGGGACTAGCAATCAAAGAGAGCTAACTGGAATGCTAACTCACATTAAAAAGGGAGCTCAGTTCCTGCCTATGCCTACTTCAGTAGTTTTTTTAAAATCAAGTTTTTCACTTAGATTTCCTCCTTCCTCAAGGAGACCCACAAAATCCAGGGAGGCCAAAACTCTTAAGAACCAGCAAAGATGATGAAAGCTCACCCTGTGAAAAGCCTTGCTCAGACCTATCCACTGCAGGGACTAGAGGTGCCTTTGTACCCTCTGCAGGAAGAGGGCAGAGGTTTGACACATCGCCAGGATTTGCCAGGCTGTCGAGCAGGGCCGGCACCTGACTCATTCAGCACAGTGCTCGCTCCCCCTCTCTGAGTCAAGTCTCAGGAATTGCCAAGTGGAGGCTGCTCCCGCAGTGCCAAAAACATGGGCTGCATTTTTGCACCCGCTTACATTACATTCGTTGGCTGTGAAGCACAAAAGCAATTAGAAATGTGTGGGTGAAATCTTAGTCTGTATCAGCATAGCCATCATTTACCCTGCTTCTACATTGTTACACCAGAGCAAGACCAAGTAGCAGGTGTGACTGAAGCCCTAGTTAAATGTCTTCTTATCAAGAACAGTGAAAAAACCACACTGGGTTGCAGTTTTCCAGAGATGATAAAGAGCTCTGTTGTTTTGTTTTCTTAAAAACAACACTAATCCATCCATTTACATCTGAACTGATGATATTTCTCAGGATAAACAAAGCTGAGGATGTCACAATATCCTCTTTACAGGATGTCTTTCAGAGCAGTAATGTAAAGACTAAGAGTCGTTTAGCAGTCTTTTTAATACACATTTTCTGCCAGTCAATTTCCCCTGTACCATATTATCAAAGGTATGGCATAATTGCTGTATAACAACTGAGGCATATCCAAAAACATTTTTAGAGCTTGGAATAATCTTGGTTAGGTTGAAAGTTGCCATTTTAGAAAGGCCCCTTCTTCCCAAGACTGTTTCAGATCAAACTGATGAGAACTAAGCATCTACCTCCTGCCTCTCAACATCCATGTTCCAGACGACGATTCCTCCATCTGCTCCGCAAGAGATGAGCTGCCGAGTGTGGTGAGCATAGGAGAGGGACTGAACTTTATCACTGAAAAGGAAACAAGACAGTTACTAATCAACCATCTATAGCTAGTGCACAAGTAAGCACAGAATATACTATAAAGCAGTACAAACCCTTTGTTTGCCCTTATGTTTCCCTCCCCCATTCACTGTACATGGCATCCATCAGATGCAAATAAGTCTTTGCTGTCCAGCTGGGACCAGAAAGAGAGTATGGCTTATCTGGGCAGCATCTACAAAAGCAAAGACCTGTTCTGATAACTGGTTTTGCTGCCCCTGAGATGGGAGGTCCCAGCTACACCGGGAAGCCTCAACAGAGGTGCAGCTCTGGGCCTCTCTGAAGGCACAACTGGATGAATGAAAGCTCCAGTAAGGTACCTTATTGTCAGACAGTCTGTAACAACTTTGTTTTTGTAAAGCCCTGCATCATCTAGAAATGAAGCACTGAGGAAGTACTGAAGATTTTCTTTTAGCACTAACAAGCACAGAGTTTCAAAAATAATATAGGAATCACTAAATTGTTCCTAAGCCTTCTCAGAGTAAGGCAGAAAATTTAGGTGCTTCTGTTTCTTCTTTTAAGGAAAAAACAACATGGGAAAAATAATTCTCTCAAGCCTCCAAAGATGGGCTCAATCTTTCATAAAAGAAAGAAAACCAAGCTTCATCTCAAGCTGTTTGCAACCTGGGGAACAAAGACCACATAACACTGTTACAGAAAAAAACAAGGTTACGAAGACACAGAAACTGAGAATACCATGACTGGAAATAATCCACAATATTTGGTTTTCTTTGCTACCACCACTGATCTTGTCTGCCCAAAGGACATTCATGCTAACATATTTGCTTTTGCACATGGCTGCACCTGCAGAGGGAAATGCACTTATGGAAGAGTTTGGTACAACACAGCCACCTTTCACAGTGCCTGCTTGCTGACACCAGAGGCACCATCAGAATTCTTAGGACTTTATGTTGTACAATTCCAGCTGACAGCCACGCCACAGATTAGGATCCAGAGGCTAATTTCATATTAGGAGAACTAATTTCCACAGCAATAAATCTAGCAGCAATGCATTAGCAAGCACCACTGGAAGGGTATGAGAGTGATCTGGGAATTTCAGCAAGAGCTCTGCAGTGCTCTGAAATCCCAGAGCATGCAAATCACTCAGCAAGTGCAGCATCACTGTATGAACCATGTAAGAAACTGTTAGGCCACAGCCACCATGGGATTTTGCTTTTCCAGACCTAAGCTTGGACACAAGTCCCACACATATGCTGTCTCAATACTCTGAAACAAACTTGTTGCATTGCCAGTGTTAAAAGATGGGGAGATCATTGGCACTAGAGCCAGTCTGACCTCTACTCAACACCCAGTAGGGGCTTAGTCTTCTTCAAAGACATCTACTATGCTGCACAAATGTACATGCAAAGATGATGCCTCTTGCATTGAGGAGATGTAAAGGCTCCTACAGGTGAAACCTATTAATTAGAATTCAGGCTGTAGGTAAAGTGGCTTGGAAAAAGTGTGGAGGAAAAAGGGACTAATTGTTCAAGCCCGATGCTCCCTCTAGGGGAAGGAAAGACCTTGACACCTAAAACTCAAGAATTTCTCTGCAGCTGTCCTCATTTGAGGACATTCCTCATTCCAACAGAGGTGCAGGCTCTGGCATAACACATTTGGGATTATAGATACTGTGCTTTCCTTCACCACCCTCTGCAGACTCTCAAATCAGCCTGTGGGCTCAACACTGAGAAACTTACTATAAGCAAATTATTCCTGATGTACATGAACCATAGGGAGTCATACATACAAGCTTGAAGCTTGTGAAGACTGTAAGCTTTGGGCTGTTTGTTTCCAGATGTGGGTTCTGCCTTTAGCTTTTCTGCCATAAAAGCAGGAGGGAGGGCTTTGAACGTACTTATGTCCTTGCAGCTCGATGGCTGTTCCTTTTCTTCCTCCAATATCCCACATTATAATGGAATGATCAGAACTGCCTGAGAATAAAACTCGCTGTATTGGGTCCCAACAGAGAGCAGTGACACCACCTGCAATTAGAGCGCACACAACAGTCATTTTGTTACGGAAAGCAGAAGACCAGAATGTAACTAAATAAAAATGACAGAGAGAGTGATTAAAATGCAGGCCTCTTTAGCAAAGGCCATGCAGCCGCGTGCCATGTGCCAGTGGAAAACTAAGAGGCTAGAAAACCTACTGAGATTCCTGACAGCAGCCCAGCTGCTCTTCTGTGGGCACAGGGCTCCATTGCCACTTGCACTGAACAGTAAAATGTAGTAGAAGGATGGTCACAGTGTGACTATACAGCTTTTCATCTCCACAATTTCTAAGAGATTAAAAGAGAAATAAGTGTGGAATATTATGGGCATCTTCTTAGTATCCTAGCACAAGGATTGTGCTACCTCGTGATTGAGCTATTAGCATTTAGTCAGATAGGAGGGATATGGGGAGAAAATGCTGAGGAATGACCACCATTTCTTCTGTTGGATGGTAGGATCCTATCCAGGATTGCTCTTTTCTAAAGGGTGATGGGGCTCAAGTTCCAGCAGTGAAACAAGCAATTAGTGCGTCCAAGATGTGCATATTCCCTTTGGGAAAAAGTGTCTACCAGCGTGGGTTTCTCCTTTATGAGCACCCATTCTTCTCCAAGAATTACCACAACTTGTTTAAGTCTTACTCTGCTTTAATTGGTAGCTACTGATTATGGCATTTTCTGCCATACATGTTTTCTGCTCAGAGTTCTGATGACTCTTGTTTTTACCAATACAGCTTCCCTGAACTGCTGTGACAGTTTAAGGTCTATGTTCCTTTCATGCTATGCACTGACACAAGCCATCCTAGTGTTTCACAAGAGAGTCAAACCACCATAATGCTGAACACAGATGAAGAATCAGATTGGGTCTCCTCCTGAGGCCTTACCTGTGTGTCCCTTAAACGTTGTAACAAGGCTGCAGGACTCTTGCTCTAGTTTGAGTATGGTCACTTGCCCAGAATGATCACCAACAAACACATGCCGGGTTTCCACATCAAATCTGATGGATAAATGCTGAGGAAAATATATTGTTAACACAAGCTACACATTCCTTTCATGACTTGCTAATTCTTTTAACATGAGCATACTGCAACCTTGTGAATAGTGCTCCAGTCTCAAGGAGGTATTCAGAGTGTACTTTTAGGCACCCGTTCATACTAGTAGTGCAGTATCCCTGAGTAAACCAAAGAGAAAAGATTAGACTATTCCAGAAGACACAATTTGTGTTTTTGTAATGAAACACCTTTGAAGCAGCCCTTCTCCATGAACATAGGAGTTGTCTCCCTGGGCTCTGTAACTTAGATATTAGAGTTGGATGGTATCTACTCTCTCCTTCCCAAACTTGTTTAAAATAACTATTACTAGTTTTCTGTTTGTATTGGATTTGCATGTCAAAGTTTTGGTAGTGGGGGGTATATGGTGTGGCTTCTGTGAGAAGGTTTGCTGGCAGGACTTGTGACGCTGTGGGAACCCATGTTTGAGCAGTCTGTTCCCAAAGGGCTGCACCCCATGGAAGGAACCCATGCTGGAGCAGGGGAAGAGTGTGAGGAGTCCTCCCTTTGAGGAAGAAGAATCAGCAAAGACAACATGCAATGAACCAACTGCAACCCCCCAGGAGGCAGAAAAAATCAGGACTGAAGTTCAGCCCAGGCAGGAAGAAGGAAGGAGTGGGGGGAAGGTGTTTTTAAGATTTGGTTTTATTTCTCATTACCCTATTCTGATTTGATTGGTAATAAATTAAACTAATTTCCCCAAGTTGAGTCTGTTTTGTCTGTGACAGTAACTGGTGAGTGATCTCTCCCTGTACTTATCTTGGCCTTTCTTTATGTTTTCTCTCCCCCACCCAGTTGAGGAGGGGAGTGACACAGTGGCTTTGGTGGGCACCTGGCACCCAGTCAGGGTCAACCCACCACAATGCTTCTTCATTATAGTCAAGTTCATGAATACAGTGAAAAAGTATTGTTTCATGTCATATTTGAGGAAGTGTCAACTACATCAGACACCTCACACATCATATTCTAAACTGAATAAAATCTGGACCATTTAACCACCTACTTGGAACTATGTAACTGGACAGATTCTGACCACTTCATCCAATTAATTCCACATTCAGAGTCCATACCGGATATTTAAGGAGCAACTGCTTTTAGCACTCCATAAGAGCAGTGCTATTTAAGAAACACTGATTTTAAGCACACAGGACATAGGAGAAAAAAAAGAAAAACCAAACATGTTCCTGGTTGTGCCAAATATTTTTGCAGTACTGCCAATGATTCTTCCTTCCACTGCCCTCCACCATCATGATCAGATGACTCAAATTAAATTGTCCTCCAAAAGTTCACTCAAAATGGTCTGTTCTCAGAGAGATTTAGAGAATACAGGACAAATTCTTGCATCATGCTTTCAAATACATTTATAATTTAATTTAAAATTAAGTCCAGTCTTTATGCCATTTATATTGGCTGAATGACCAGATAATATAAAGCAAGTCCATATTGGAACAGTAATTTTGAGTAGGACTCACTTCTCCTGAACTAGCAAAACACACATCTATACCACGTACACTCTGGGGCATTAAAAGGTCTGTTTATGCTAACCTCTGTTTTCAGCCTAAGACCTCACACTTTTCCACTTTCCTATTTATTTGCAATAAAGCTGAATTAATATTTCTTTTATTGTTGGGCGGCTGGGGCAGCTCTGCATGAATAAGCCACTCGAGTGCCATTTCTGGAGTCATTTACTCTTTGGTTAACCCAAATTCCCAATACATAGTGAGCAGTTCCAGAGTGAAGGACAAGTGCTCATTATTTTATATTAAAGTAATTTAATTTTTACCATGCATGCACACAGGCACTCTGACCCGATCACCAACCTACTTTGCTACCATTAATTCTCTGAAGAAAGCATGCACTGCATGTTTAAATGAAGGTCCTATCCATATTTATTACAATAGCAGACCACAATAGGTTGCAGATTGTTCATTGTGGTGCTTAAAAATGCTTAGACCTAAATATGCCATAATGCATTAAGGAGACAAAGCAAGGAGAATAGGCAGTTTTTAAAATTGGCTTTAAGTAACAGTTTCTCGCACAAAGCACTGAACCTATGCAGGGCACAAAATCTGCAGGACAACTAGACAAATAAACTAAAAGGGCTGTTTGAGTGCCAAAGAGCAGAAATAAAACTGAAAGCTCAGCAAAGGATACTGCAGGCCACAGGCACCTGCACTGGTGCGGTACCCTCCCAGCCGCTGGCCACTTTCCGAACAGTGCCACGTGAAGTGTTTATCTTGTCCAGTGCTTAACACCCACTCCATTTCCAGAACAAAGAGAATCATGATGACCCTGCTTTGATGAGCTGAAAATTAAGCAGACAGACACATAATCACATTGCAGAGAAGAACATGGGGGCAGAATAACACTGCAAATACCAACTGCACCCAACTCCTCCACTCACCCTTCCCTACAGAAGCAGCTGGTGTTTAATAATCCTGTTGACATCAGCTAGCATGCGAGGTTGTAAGGTCCCTGCTCTGCATGTTCAGCGTTTGCATGAGAAAGAGTGGAAGCAAGACTTAATTCCTTCCATGCCTGTTGCAGCCATTTGTCTTCCACAGTAGCACAAGTCTTCCCTCCATGATTGTATCATCACTAACAAAACTGCCATTGTGGAATGGACTCGGGGCTCCATTTAAACCTCTTTTGAGCTGGTTTTATGACAGCAGTACAGATGCCTACCCTGCCACTCCTCCTGCTGTGAAGTCTGGTGGATCTGGGCTGTGGTACCCCAGCAGAATGATGAGTTACAGGCACAATGCTGCACCAAAGGAAAGTTTCAGCATTGCATGTAAACCAGATAGAAAGGTTATTGGAATAAAATAAAAGGAAAAGAAAAATATCACAGCTGTGTTAGATGAATAAAACAGCTGAAGGAATAAATCTCTACTGCTACCAAAATAAAGCCATCAAAAGCTTTTCATTAAAACAAGGGAATGCATGCTTGTACAGACAGTTTTTTGTATGAATGACCAGTGGGCTTGGTCATGAAGTGCTGATTGAGCTGACTTTTTAATAAAACAAGTGGCTGAAAAGACTTGCAGAACTACTCCCAGCTGTAACTTAGCAGTGATTGCCATACTCCTCAATCTACGGCCCTGCTGATTTATTACTGTTCTGAGACCCGCCAACATGTATTGCACAAAACAGGCTGGTTGTATTGCTTGTATTTGTTTGTGTAAAAGCTGACACACACACACACAAAAAAATTAAATATGTTTGGAAGCTTAAACACCAGCCCCAAGCCTCCATTTGAAATGCAGAGAAATTCTTCAGAACAGTATGGGAATATTGCTGTCTGCCCTGCACAAATATACAGCACAAATGAGAGCTGCGTTCAAACCCTATGAGGGGAACCAGTTGTAGTAAGGAAGTGGTGGCTTGCATAAGCCAACACCTGCCCTGATCCACACTGCTTTTTTAGATGGAGATTCCCTGAGGAGAAAAGTCAAAAGATGCATTGACACAAGTTGCCACAACTGTGACTGGCAGCTAGACCAGTTTACAGTGTCAGACATGAACTTGTGCCCAGGTGCTTTCACCCTTGCCCATAGAAGAGGTCAGATTTTGGCTGTCATTTCCATAAGTTTTACATTCCAGACAGAAGGATGGGGACCGCCAAGGAGTCACTTGAGCTCTTTCAAATAGATCCTATCTCCTCTCGGCCCTTGTTTTCTCTGGGGAGAAATTCAGTGACCCCATAGGTGGTTCATGCTTGTCTTTACCTTTCTGCTGGTCTCTCCGGAAACACCCGCACTAGCTGGTGGAGTGGTGCACTGAGAGAGGGTCATGATGAGCTGTAGGCTGCTACAAGCACCTGATGGGCTTATAAACATGTCCCAGCAGCTTGTGTGCACCAGCAAGGTCATAGACAAGGTCATCCACTTTCACAGGATATCCAAAGCTGGCCGAGATCAGACTGTTCAAGGCCTGTCCAGATATGTTACTGCTAGTGACAGCTTCCTGTGGTTTGAATTGGTTGTAAGGATAGCTGGCACCACCCAACTCTCTTAAATTTCCTATCTCCTAAAACTTCTAAAAGGCAGGGCTTGTAACTTTTGCTAGAAGTACTGCCTGTGGATGCTAAGGTAGCTCTTTTTGGCAAATAAGGAACAGACATTGAAGAACTGTACTTGCCAAGAGGTGGAAGGGGTGTACACAATAGGTTTGTTTATCCTCTCTCCTCAAAAGGAGCTTTCAATTCAGCACTCTGTTGTACGCTTGCACATATTAGGCTGGAGCCAACACACATGCTGATGGCAGAAATATCTGAACCAAGTGACAGAGCATGATGGAGATCATCTCAGTAACAGAGGACAGAGAAGACAAATGTAAATCAAAGTCAAGGCTAAAAAAAAATTAAGGCTAAAAGAACTAAAATGTCAGAAGGTTGGAAGCTGACACCAGAGCAAGGAAGAGGTCTGGGCCCTAGGATTAACATAGGTACAGGGTCTTGAAGCAATAAACAAAAAACTGATCCTTCATCCATGGAAGGTTTGATCACCATTTGTGAGCAGAAAAAAATGTGGAGCAAACAATTCCAAAGCTGTTCATTTGCAGCAGGATGGAGATGGGGGGATGGAAGCTGAATGTGTTCGCAGTACAGGAAAAGCCTCGGCAAGCACCAGGCAAGAGCCTATGTGAGCCAGCATGAGAAGGAAGCCATTTTTGGAGGAAGATTATGCTGTACAGAAGGTAGAGAAGCAGCAGAGAGGAGAAGGGAGCAGGTACATGTGCAGCTGGAGAGTGGGAGGCAGCAAGGGGGCTGCTCTCCTTCTATGAGAAAGCAACAGCAAGCAGTGTGGAAAAAAACAGGTTGGAGAAAGGCTGTAAAGTCTGTGCCTAGAGAAGAGAAGCTGCAACCAGGAGGTGAACGCCGAGATACCAGCACAGGGAAAAGGAGGGTGTGCGCTATGTGTAAAGGCAAAGGTCTGAGAAGCATAGTCAGTGCATGGCCACACACAGTGCAGGGGCAAGAAACTGTGCTGAGGGGTTACAACAGTAAAAAGCATCACCAAAAGAGAGGTGGAAGTTACCAGCAAGAAAAAAAGCTTAGCATATGTAAGAAAAGCTCACATGAAGAGGCTGTGCATAGAGGAAAGCATAAGTAAGGGCATGACATGAGCTGGCCTGAAAGCAAGGGGGCAAGGGGTCACCCTCAAAATAGGCAGGCTGCACAAAGCACGGGGCAGAAGTAGGTCTACTAACCTGGCTAGGCAGAAAAAGTGTGGGTCATATAAATAAACAAATCAGTAAAAAGTAAAAAAACCCAGGAGCTGTTATCTCATCCAGAGGGGGAGTGGAAACATGGCCCCTGGCAAGATGGTGTGCTTTCAAGAAGCAGGGTAGAGAAGGCTGTGCAGAGTGGGAAGCTGCAACAGCCGTGCAGTTGGACCAGCCTGTGAGGGGCTGGAAGCCAAGGCTGCTAAGGGGAGGGAAAGATTTCTTCAACACCCATAGTTTTGCAGGAATGTGAGTAGCTGCCCAGGGAAAGAGTGGAGGGTGTGAGCAGAGATTGTCCATGCCTTCAGCTGGTGCTGTGGCTGAAGAAGAGAGGATGTCGATAGTTATGAGAGACCAACACAGAATGAAAAGTTTAATTTCCCAGAGCATCCTAAATGGCACTGTTCAAATGCTTGCACTACCCCTTCTTACACAAGAGAAAGAGTCAGTGCCTAGAGGAGGCCAATGCTCTGAAACCCACCAGATAGTCCTATCTTAATACTGTGTTACATCTCTGATCCCAGTGTTTAGATCCCTTTCAAAAATTAAGATTTCACAACTCCAGACACAGTGTTGCAGCAAAACCTCCACAGAGCATATCCAGCCACATACGCTGCCAATGCCAGACTGCCATATGCCACTGGACCTGGCTGTACACCCCTACCAACACCAAAGCAAAGCCTATACACATGCTGTCATTCCCTGTCACTAGCACATCATTTGGCAGACATATTCATGGCCTTTCAAGACACAATTGGTGTTCTTTAATCCCTACAGCAGCCTCAGCTACCTTCTTGTGGGAGATGATCAATAGCCCACCAGTCACTAGGCAAGGTGTTACTTTCAAGAGCATTGTTGAACATTTACAAAGCTAGCACACACAAAACCAGCCAGCATGGCTAAGCTAAAGCCCCTTGGTAGGCTAAATAAAATTATTTACTCCCCCTAAAACATTTTTAAATTATATAAAGGTCTTACTTGAAAACCTTTAGTAAAACCAAAACTTTTAAAAAGTAAGGCCTTTAACAAAAGAACCACTAGAAGGCTGCCATATGAACAAAACTATGTGTTCCTTTTTAATTATGTTTTCCCTTGCCCCAGGGTTTTACTAAGCTGCTTATGCCAACCCCTACACTTCAGTACGGCCATATGAGGAAGATGCACTATAGGGATGGGATTGTGGAGTGGAGTCCTCCTGGAGCATGAGAGGAAAATCCATCTCTGCTGGATCATAATATGCCTACCCAAAGGACTACAATGCCATTCCCTGCATATTCTCCCAGGGAGCATGGTGAAAACGGGGCTCTTTCCTCCTCACTGTGACCCAGAAGCACCACTGGACTCTGGCCCCAGGGAGGCCCCCAGTAAACTCAGATCCAGTGTTCTGGAGGGAGGCAAATGTAGCAAGAGAAGCATGAAAGTGCCTAACGCTGGGTGGACCGATGAAACTGCAGGAACTTGTGACTGACAGCAGCTCACAGAGCATCTCACTTGAGCAATGTTTCCCCAGCACCCCAGATCTCCACCAACATCTGGTGTGAAGAGCAGAGAATCTTTGAATGAGGGTGGTGGGAGGCACTGCGCTGTGGAGCAGCTGGTCAGCCTCAGGTCACTGGTGTCCTGCAAACAGTGGGGAATCTCTTACTTTTTTTTGTTTGTTTGTTTTCCTACCTTGCACTGTCAGAAACCTGTTCACTTCAATTGTTCAGGTATGTGTGGTGAGAGACTAGAATAGGTTGCCCAGAGAAGTTGTGGATGGCGCATTCCCGGAAGTGTTCAAGGCCAGGTTGGATGGGGCTTTAAGAACCTAGTCAAATCGAATGGACTGCTTATGGCAGAAGGGTTGGACCTAAATGATCTTTACAGTCCCTTCCAACCCAAACCATTCTATGATTCCATGAAAAACTTTCCCACGCTGAGACAGACAGTCTAGGCAGGAAGCGACTCTAGTTATGACTGTGGTCAGTTGTGCTGCCTCTCCACTGGTGTTAATGGATGCTCATTAGAATCCTTTGCTCTGCAATAGTTGGGAAATGCCATTTGAAATCTTGGGGTTCTCCCCCAGGACAACCCATGGAGGCTCTCCATAGCATCTTCATACCCAAAGGCTTCCTGCAATGCTCTGCAGCACATCTGGCACACTGCAGAAGACCATCAGAACAGCTTTCATTTTCCTTCTTTTTTTTTTCCTTCTTTTTTCTATTTTATGAGGGGTGTTCCCTGGACCTTCAGTGGGTTGTCACAACCAACTGGCTTTTCTGCATACTGCCAAGATATCCATTCCCCTCTTCCAAAATTTTCAGCATTATCCCTGAAGAGCTTATCAAGAAAATTTTTCTCATGCATATGTTGTTCTGCATATGCAGAAAAGAAAACTTCAGCTCACCCTCTTCAGTGCAACAACCCTTAAATATGAAAACTAGGTGCATCAAACTTTGGTGACTGCAGAGCAATCACAAATTTGGATGCTAAGGACCTGTACAGTCAGACTGCAGCAATTTTATTTAAGATTCACATATATATTTTATCATCATTGGATATTTTTCTTCAGTTTTCACAAGCTAAGAAAAAATGCAGGTAATTCCTTCTTAATTTTACAACACACCAGACATTCATGAAACAGTTGAAGTGAAAAACTCACGTCAGCTGGGCTCTGCACAAATCAAGATTCTCTTCATACCTTAAAACCTAACTGTTACAAAGGATGCCCAGAGCCTCCATTTAGAGATTGTAATTATCCTTTCAGTCTTTAAAGGTACAAAATGCAAAATATGCATAAGTACATATTTTAAAATATATGTGAGAAACTCAAAGGCAATGTGTCAGAGGCTTCTATACAGAAAGATAATGCTTAGCATATAATATGTTATGATATCATATACTATCATACCATCCCTTAGTCTAACAGCAAAAAATTTATAAGAATAAATAGTCCTCTAGAGGTTTGACAAGGATAAAAAGCTAGGTTTCTGAAAATATCACATTAGTGAATACCAGAATCTAATTATAAAAGATAGGGATTACATTTCTTGACCTTTTACTATGAGAGGTATTCACTGATAATCTTGATATTATTGAAACCAGCAGTTAGTGGAATATAACCAGATGAACCCCAAAAGCTGCAATCCTAAGCCCTAAAACACAGGTTTAATTTCCTAAGTTGTTTCAGTAGATACATTGGATTACTAAAGACTGAAAATTAAAACTCCTCTTCCCAAAACACGGTCTGGATTTTGGTCAGTTTGCTGTCTAGACTGATATTCCAAAGGACAAAATTAAAAGGAAAAACAGAAAACGAAATAACTATTTTAAAAGATTTGTAATCTCAGAACAAGGCACATTATAAATCTATTGATAAAACCAGAATTCACATTAGTTAAAAAAAAACACTGTTAAGGAGACTTCTTTCCATTCACACTGTTAATGTGTTAATGTGAATTCCATTCACATTAACACATTGTTAAGAGAACATTAACAAAAATTAATGACAATACAAACCAATTAACTCAGTTCTTACCCTGGTAACTTTTCACTAGTGTCATCTTGTTGTAATCTTCAGATAAAATAAATTCCTGAAGGAATGGAAAGAAAAAAAACAAAAGAAACAGTGCTTAGAGATGTAAAATGTTTGAGACTGTTTTCATTTCAATTCTTTACCTAGGTAAGCTCTCCCTTCTCCACAACCACTGCCCTGTTTATACATTTGCTAATTTTGAGTACCTCCATCTAAAAATCTACATTATTTTTCTTTTTAAAGTTGCCAAAGAAAAAACATCATGAGTTCTGCTGAACAGAATGGTGGAGATAAAAGAAATGGCCTTAAAAAGAAGTAAAAAATGCTGACAGAGATGACTGCTTATGAGCCGAGGTGCCACAAAATGAAGGACATGAGATCTGGCAAACAGTTATTGCTCAGGACAGCCTGGGCAGAAACCTGTGTGTGTGCACAGTTATGTGTGCACACATGTGCATTTGTGTATACACATGTATCCATGTTTGTGCATACACTATATTCCACCCTGAACACTCAGGAAACGCTATATTAATATGTAAGAGACCCTTGAAGTTGCTCAGTCCAGACTAGGTACCAATAAACCATTATGGGAATGGAACACATTTCAGGTTTCTGTCAAAAAGCCTGTCGGTAATTCAGACAAATAGAAACCCAGACTTTTTCCCACCTTGATTTCATTACACTATTAGTTAATATTTATTCTGGCACCTCAGAAGCAGACTTTTGTCTTTGCTACTGCTTTGTTGAGGCTAACAAGCAGTTGTGTGTGGGGTGGAGAGTGGCTTACCATAGGCTGTGGCTGCCTGGGGAGACAGGAATGGTGTGAGTCCAGCCAGGCTTGTCCCCGTGGCCAGGGAATAGCACACCTATGGAGACGGGCTCTTCAGTCCTGCTGCCTTGGTGCTGCTATTTAATTGCTGATATGGCTTTTGCACAGGGAAATGATGAAAACAGCAGCTAAGAGTCTGCATGGTGGCCTCGGCTCCTGAATAAACCCCATGTGGTTAAACTGACTGAGCACCTGGGTGCTCCTGCTGATCGTTTTGAAAAGGAGAGTCGCACAACATTGGGGAAACAGAATGACCACAACAAAACTCCTGCAACATCTCTCTGGAGGAAACACCCAAGCAAAGGGTAGGCTCTGTGGCACCACCACATGAATTAGCTTTCAGATTGCTGTCAAGTATCTACATGCATGTGAGAAATAAATAAGGTGGTTTTATTACAAGCAAGGATTTCCATGGTTACCTCATGTTGAGATACTTGGAGGTCATTTTTATTTAGGGAGATTGAAGAGCCATTTTACGGTCAGGAGGTGGTGAGTTGCATGGTGTTGTGGTCACTGTTACTCACTGCTGCTTATTGCTTTACTTACTGTTCTTATTGTTCTGATCACTGTTAGGTGAATCGGAAAGCATGTAAGGCAGTAAGACCAATTTGGGCTTGCTGCCAAGGGACCATGAGGCCAGGGGCAGGGAAACAACCTGATAGGTGGATGGGAACAACCAATGGACTGTACCAAAAGGCAAAGATTACCTTTTAAGGAAGAAAAGAGCGAGGCCTGGCATGGAAGGTGCAAGGGAGTGGTTATGTAAATCAAGAGACCTTAAAAAGGCTTGTCCCCTCCCAGTCAGGTGTGCTCGGACCTGGTCACGAGGTCGAGACACCCAGCGCGCTGAAATTAAACTTCTTTATTTCATGTTATTTGGCCGTCTTTGAAAGTTTAATTAGAAATATTTCTCACAATGCATACATCACATACTCAGAAAAACACAAAGAAAAAAAGGAGTGTAAAAAGACATCATATTAATAATTTATAGCAAACTACACAGAAAGTCTCTAAGCTAATCTACCTAGAGGACAGAAGAAGTAAAACTTAACTCATTTAACCTGAAATAGGGTGAAATAAACATTACAAACACAAGATAAGTTGTATCTAAAAACATACAGTTGTGAAATGTTTATGTGCACATTCCAAAAGCACTGTGCAACAGTAGAGAAGACTAGACTTCAGGATCCTATAGACTATACTGAAGGCAAACTGAATGTTTAATGCAAACAAGCATAAGCCATTCAAACCACCAAGAAGCCAGTATTTACCCCCAGTTTCCAAACCAGAATTAAAAAAAAAAGGTCGCTGTATTTTCTGTGGGGTCACTGCAGGTAATCTGCATGGCTTTCAAGCACCAGAACTACTCTAATACATCACTTCTACTGCTTGGCATCAAGGTGGAGAAGTTATAATACTCATCTGTGGAACATCTACAGATCCCAGATCTAGGAAAACAACTGTGAGTGATTTGAGGCAGCTATGTATTCTGCTCTCTCTAGGTTTCTGTTCAAAAAATTGTCATAAATATATTCCCTTGAATTGCTCCACTTCATCTTCCTTTCCTTAATCTGCTCCAGCTCCCATTAACTTTCCCCTGGCAGTTGAGGACTACAGTGGGGAGTGTTATTTAAACAGCAGTAACAAATCAATTAAGTCAGCTGGATTTCTATACAGGGTCACCTTAACTCTACAAACCACAGAAAGTCAAAAATCTGCTACACTTCTCCAGCTACCTACTGGGGAAAGTGTTTATAAACTACTATTTGAAGAATACTAACCCACACACGAAGTGCTTTGCTACAAAGCCTATCTCAAGCAGGACCCTTTGCTACTAATGCTAACTTTGTGCTATTGTTACCTAAAGAGAAACGGCTTTAATTGCTGCAACACATGGTGGGAGAATATATCTGCCTTTCCCACCAATGTGGATGTCCCTGACTTTGACTGTGGTGGCACACAGATGCTGCGACTTAAGGTGGGATGTAGAGCATGGTTTGCATTCTCACTTTTCTTTGAATTTTTTCCCTTAATAAATTTGGTGTGGCCATTTTATTCTGTGATCCAAACAGTCCCACAGTTTCAGTAGAAGACTGAAAAGGCTTTTGAATCTCTCCATTATAATACAGTGAATCCAACACAAGTGCAGTTCATAAGGTTTATCCGAGTATTGCTTAGCACTGTATGCTTTATTACAAACCACAACTATGTACTATTAGTACACTGCTGCATCCAAAATATACAGTTTCAATTAACCTGAATATTGGATATAATTTCTTCTTCTTTTTTCTCCTCTGAAGACTTCTTGCCTATCATTTTCTTCTTTGAAAGCATATGATAATTTGTGATGCATTTTCTTATTTTCATTCTTCTAATCTTTCTGTAGGTCTTTTACACCCTGCTCCCCTGTACACTCTCATGTGTTCTTCCATAGCACTTATTGCCCTCTCCCTCTCGAGGCCAAGAATTAATTGCGTCACTAGGCGCTCATTTTAGCACAGGGCACCTTGCTCAAGAAATTCATGCGCTGTTGCACATACATTATATCATCTGCACTACAAAAACACTGATTACATCTCTTTAACATTGTACCAATAGAAACTGTATTTTTTATCATTGTGTACGTAGGTGTTTTGCTCCTCTGAGAGCTGCTGACGCTCACTTCTCATTAGGCAGGTTTTTGGCTCTTCTTAATGAGCCACAGAAGCTGGGGTCACCCACATAGCTCAGTCGGTGCTTGTTAGCAGAATAGAGAAAGATTTCTGAGGCCCCTTGTGTACAGGAGGGGCTGGGATATATCAGAGCACTCAGGATGGTAAAACCAAACCCCCTCATTGCAGGGATTAAAAATAACTTTTCTGACAAGATCACTCTTTGCCCTTCAGAGGTGGTTGTGGAGCTACTTTAATACCTTTTTTACCATACTTTAAATGTTAGTGCTCAGTCTTGCCTGTTTCAGGTAAACTTATCATTACAACAGTGACTTGGTACCATGAAAGCCTTCACAAAGCAGTCTCAAAAACACTATCAAAATCTAGTTGTCAACTGATGTACAAAGACTCTCAAATATTGCTTCATGTAGCACACCTCCCTCACACTAAAACACATACACCCCCCCAAACTTCCCTTGACCATAAGACCTCTGTAAATCCTCACCCTGGAAATAGTATCAGCATCTAGTTTCAAATTATTCAGAATCCTTGACCATGGGGTCTAAGGAAGACTCATACCTTTCCAGAGCCAACTGATGTATCCCAAAACAGAGAAGTCTGCTTAAGCAACTGAATCCATTTCTGAGAGTTAATAATCTTTATATTATTTATGGGTTACCCATTCACAAGCTAGTTCCCACTCTAAGGAATTTAGAGTCTATTCTCTGGTAGATGATGCCATTTTGACAGAACACAACGAATCTCCTTAAAGGCTTGACTTTATCCTGTTAACACAAGTGACCGACTGCACGCTCACGTCTTCCAAAGAACAATGAACCTGCTTCAGAAATGGCAGAGAATGAAGACTCTTAAATCTACTGTCAGATTCTACACCTGTACCTATTGAAAAAAACCACCCAAAACTCTATAAATAATGACAGCATTTTCATTTTATTAAGTACAAAAACTGGGAGAGGACAGAAAACATCGTGGTTTTTTCTTGGGGGAAAAATACTAAACTTCCCACAATGGCAGAGGGGAAGGGTGCAGATCAGCAGGTAGAGCCCAACTCAATCCTAGGTATTCAAAGTGCTGTTTATGGCCTAACCTCTAGACAGCTACAAGATCAGATGGGGTGGATGATGAATTTATCTTACCAAGTGTCATACCCAAGGAAGAATTCTGAAGAGGTTATTCTGGTGCCTTGCTTTCCCTGTGGCTCTGATCAAAGTTACAGTTTCATATAGACACAAGCACGGTCAGCAAAAAAGATCAATTTAATTCAGCTTCAGCTACCTAAAAACTAAATCCTCATTTCAATCTCCCCAGAAATGAAAAGAAAAAATTATGCCATTTTATAACACTTTCTAGGGCAAGCAACACAGGTCTATCCAAAGAGAATTCACCTTTCCTCTACTGGCTGCAGAACCTAGTGATTAACTTTATCTAGGAAATTAGCTTTCAGATGGACAAAATGATGTGAGGAGCGGCATCTTGGCAGTGGAAGTCTCCTGTCTATTGCAAGTAAAAGACCTTTCCTATGTTTCTTCTTGTTGTGGTATCTTGAGAGTCCTACATCCATTAGAGCATGTTTTCCTCCACTTCAGAGCAGGGAATTGATGTTCATAAAATCTTTTAACTTCCAAAAGGGACCTCAAGCATTCCCTATGACGCCATTTGTTCTCAAAAAAAGGTTTGCAAAGTGTAAAAAAAAAAAATCACAGAAACTTTTTTTTTTTTACATTAGGTACCACCACTCTTCAAGCAAGAAGACAATCTTTCATGCAAGAGAATGGTATATTGTGCCCAAAAATGTCTGTGCAGCCTTCATGTTGAGAAGTTACAAAAGATTAAAAACAATCTCTGTAGAAGCAAAAACTCTCACCCTGTTTCATAAAGAAAGGTGGCCATACAAGCTCACCTCATCGTGGCTTTGCTGGAACTTCTTTCTGTGACAATAGCATTGCTGGCTGTCCTTCTCAAAATGCACTACATGCATTTCTGAGGTGCCATGCTTATAACCAAAGTCCATACAGTTTACAAAAATTTCACAGAATAAAAAAGGCAGTTCCACTTTCTTATCTCTATTCACATCTGAAAGTACTTCCTTGGACTTCAAAAAAAATTTGTTTGAGATTATGTGGCACTCTAACGAGTTCCACAGCCCTTGCCAGGAATCCTTTCTTTCTACCCAAAGTGAAGATGCAGAATTATTTTCAGCTTTTTTTTTTTTGGCCCTGCACCCAGCATACACAAGAGTGCTGGGCATTACAGAAGTGCTAACATGGAGCAGCTGACTAATTCCCAAATATTTCAAGCTGCTCAACTAAATTGCCTGTACTTTCCCTTTGGGGGCCACACAATTAAAAGCAAGGATACTAAGGTCACCTTGTTGCAGTGAGTTCTGTTATTTTGTGACCAATGTGCCCTGATGGTATATTCCTAACTAATCATCGTAGTTGTGTCCAGGAAAGAAAACTTGTCCTTTCCTCCAGAGGGTGGTTGTAACCCATTTCCAAGTACCTGAGGATTTTCTCTACACCTTGAAACTTGAAAATGAGGCTCCCCTCACTCCTCTTCCATTCTCAGCTCCACCACTTCTTGTAGCACATTACAGTTGTGATTTCTCTTACAAGCCTTAGGTTTGCTACAGAGGGAAACATTTCATCACTTGTGGAAGTTTGAGGAGTGCATTTTCTGCACAATCCCCGACCACACAACTGCCTGCAGCTACAGGGGACTAAATCAAGCAACACAGATAAGCCCTTCCCCCTTCCTAGGTACTTGTATCCAGAGAACTGGGAAAAAAAAAGCCCAGCTTAGCAACAAATAGAATCTGCTTTAGACAGGGCAATATATACCTGTAAGTACTCCAAGTCACATGTTGGTTTATCGCCTGCATATCTCATTTACCTTCTTTAGCTTTGGAATGGAAAATATTTGATCCCATTCAGACTGAAGAATCCTCTGACTCTTCAAGGCAAAATGCCCCCAAGACAAAGGACACATCTCCCATCATGCCAGAGCATTTAAATACCTCATTTACAGTTGCCTTCACATTCCTCAAAGGCCTGGTGAAAACAAAAGTGCCTCCTAGGACTGGCAAATTACAGCTATTTCAGGGAGTGGGAAGGAGAGAATTTCAGAGGTGCAGGGAATTCTCTGGCAGCTGTTCCATCTCTTAGATACAAAAGGAGAAATTTCCTACAGGCACACAAAAAAACCTCTGCTACTAGCCATTAATAGCTTTATAGGTCAAAACCTTTACTTCTTTGATAGGGCTTACAGGCAACAGCTAAAAGGGTCACACACCCATTCCCAAATGCTGTACTGGCTTTAGTGCAGACAGCTGCCCTTATGTCAACCTGAAAACACTCATTCAGTTAAAAAGCCCATAAGGCAGAGACAACAGCAGTAAAAATTGGAAATGATGGTAAAATGACCTTAAACTGGAAGAGGAGTCTATTGACGAAGCATAGGTGAAAAATACCTCTGACCCCTAACTCTTCCACAAAGTGATATAGCTTTTTACTCATCATCCCACAAGAAAAATCCAGTTATTAAGGTCAAGTGCTACCCTCTGTCACAGACCTAACAGGCACATTCTTCTTTTAATACTCTGCTTCTTTCCACACATATATATCTCAGATGTTAATGAACCAAATCTCTCAGCAACAGCACTACCAGTTAGGAGCAACTCCTCCCAAGGGACAGGAAAACAAAATCCGAACTCTGAAGTTTGGAAAAGCAGCTAGATATGGAGCAGAAATTAAACTTCTGCCTCTCAGAAGATGATTTCCCCCCCTCTTAATTGCTGCTTTCAGAAAACTTTGGTATGGTGTGATTAACAAGGCACTTAAATTTAATACAATAACAGCTGTTTTGTGTTATTTTTTAAGAGATATGTAAATCAGGACAATTTGTTGAGTTGCCTAATAAATATTGTAAAGCCTACTCAATATCCTTGTGGTAGTAGGAATAAAATTTTTAATAATTGCCATTTTCTACATTACAGATTCAGTTCTACTAGCAGTAAAAAGTCTGTTTCCCAAACACTAGCAAAAATATCCTCATCACAACATCACACACATACTTCTCAAAAGGGAGGCATTTCAACTAGAAATCTTTGGATGTACTTACTGAGATTGTACCATTGTCTAGACCTATGGACAGCCTTCTGGTTTCCGGGTTAAAAGACATGCATGAACATGGAGCTGAAAAAAATGAACATGTTGATGAAGTTAACAAAACTGCGATTCTCATTTTCTTGAAGTTCTGGAAAGCCTTAAACTAGCTAACATGCTTTATGATGCTGTTCAGCATTTTGCCCCTTCCAATAGACAAGCATTAAAATAAATGTGTTCTTCAAATTCATTCAACCCTATCCTGTTAGGACACGGAACAATAGCTATTTCTTGCTCCAGTTCCTTTATTTTTCCTTACTAGTTATCTAAAAACAGGCATTTCATATGAGAGCAGTGGTGGTGTTTTGATATGAGCATCTGACATTGCAAGATAAATCTGAGAGATTAATTAGCTGAATAATTTAGTTTTTTTACATTTGTCTGAACTTTACTGACAATAAAACAAAACACTGTATTAGTAAGAGGCCTGCATCCTACACCTGCAGCAAGAAAGTTCTCCTGTAGGAGTCAACATATCAGCTGATACTAAGGACTAAGTCCAACTGTCCCCTAGTCCAGTTGCATCACAGACAGCACTATGACAGTATCCCATACTGTGGCCAAAATAAAAGTTTGTTTCTTAAACTACCCATTGCTGGATTACATTGATGTTACTCAAATAAACACCAGGATATGCTCCTAAATTGCACACAAGACAGTCACAGTATGCTCCTTCAAGGATTGGCAAGGTTTGCACTATGATTAAAACCAAAATCTTCTTGCAAGAATTCAAGAGCTATGCTTGGTTTAAAGTTGCATTCAGAAAGCAGGAATTGTTTTTACTGCTCAACACAGCAGCATGCAGCTAGGAGTCCTCCTGTCCCAACAGAAACCTTTGGGAATTATTTTTCAGGAACAATTGCCAACTGCAGGTAGGAGCAGGCATTCTTGCTCCTTTGGTAATGGTAAGAGTGTTTTTAAAACCATATTTTTGTGATAAAGTACAGTCAGATGCGCTTTTAGTTCTGCTTTTCCCCCTCTCTTGGTTTCTATTCTCCCTTGAGATTACTTATGCGTTTTTGTTACTAACAAGCTTGGAGTCCTCTCTTTTGAAGTATTGTAATCTGGTAGATTCTCAATTTGTGTGATGTCACACTTGGGACTAAACAGTCCATATCTTAGCAAATCTTCCTTGATAGTTTAGTTGGCAGCAAAGCTATATGAAGAACAGGAGAGTCAATGTTGACTGTTTAATAAAACTTGTTCTACCTTCAGTATTGAATCCCCCTTGAAACATTTCCTGAAGGACAACTAACCGTAAGCAGAAAGCCTACCAGATCCACATCCAGGGAGGCACTTTGGCTTATATCTTTCCCGGAAGGGTTGACAATTAAATCAAAGAAAAGGCTTCAGTTCAAGGAAACTGACATAAAGAAAACAGGAAAATTAAATCAGGCCTAGTGACAGTGACAAAATTTCTCCTTCCTGTACCCCTCCCTCAGAAAAGGCAAACTTTAATCATCCCGTCAGATGGTGATGCACTACTATTAAATTGAGGTTTCTAGGGTTGTAGCAGAACAAGACAGTTGCAGAAAAAATGAACAGGAAAAAAAGCAATTCTAAGCAGAATAAACATCAAGTAATTTTAAAGGACTTATATTCAGAACAGACATATTCTACATATCAGCTTTTAATGCTAGACACTGTGCATACATTGAAAGAGATACTAGTAAGTCTGAAGGCAACTAATAACTCACAGAGAAAAAGCCTCAGGCAAATTACCTATTTCAAGTGCACTTTTCCCAAACACTTTAGATGCAAAAGGTTCAAGCAATTGCTTGACACAAATTGATTACAAAAGAAGTAACTTCTTAATACCAGACCTGCATGTACACAGTCATAGTAGTATAAAGATACTTATTTTGCTATAATGATTTTCTTAAGGGAATTCTTCAGTAACATGTAGTCTTACAAAAATCATTATGTCATCACTAAAATTATGTCCACGCTAGCTACACTAATGTTGTTAAAGTGATGCCAATTGTAACAAGACTGCAGCAGCTTATATTTTAGCAACAATAAGATGACATTCAGATACTTAAATACTTAGGCTCATTAAGAAGAGGGAAAGAAAAGAAAAAAAATAAAAATAAAACTAAACAAAAATTTGAAACCTTAAGCTTCTGAGATATTTAAGATCCTTTTAAAATAATAGCCAGGAAAAATAACAGCACTCTGAAGGCTCTACTTGAGTACCTAGCTATGATTTGGATTTCAGACTGAGAAAAGGTTGATCTGAACTATTATAGAGGACAAACCGGATATTTCTGATGCAGAAGTCTGGCTGTAGTCTTATCTTAAATATAGGGCAAATGCACACAGATTTTTGCCCTTGAAAGGTGAATTTTGGAGGAAAAACCCTATTATATACTTCACGTGCTCAACAGTGTGACCTCTATTAGAGGCTGACAGAAGTAAAAGAGAAATACAAAATTTGTATGAGCAGTTTCAGGGTCTTTAGGCAACTTTTAAGTGCCTATATATGACACAGTTTAAGACCAAAGGAGTATGTTTTGCCTTGCAGTTTTTTTAGCCTCCTGTTCAAAGCAAAGTGTTAACTATGAAAATTATCGTAAGACAGGCAGTGTATTATCTGCCTCAAAGACTGGATACTCCATTGTTCCTCACTACAATATATCCTTTACTCCATTCCACATCTGCAAGAGGTTTTTTTGGTTCTTTTTGGGTGTTTTAGAGTTTTTTTATTGGCAAAGTTTACTTGACTCTTGACTACAATTCTTTTGCCTTTCATGAATTTGTGTCTGCTAAGTTGGTTTTCTTTCCTCCTGTACCAACACTGCTCAAGTCACAAATCTAACCATAAGTAACCAAGAGTACACATCTAACCATGAGGAGGGTTAACATGCTTATCAGAGATCTGTTGTTAATGAGCTGTTGAGACAACAGTGGTGTGAAAGAGGTGTGTCAGTGAGGTTTCCAGCTTACCTAGGTTACCATACTAACAATATAACTGTGTATGACACCCAGAGCTCTCTTCTTTCTCACGGGCTACAGATGATCAAAAATGTGGCCACTGTGCTGTACAGAATTTTCTGTCTACAGAAACACTCATAAAAAGGGCATAAAACTTTGCAATTGGGGAAATCCCACCTCTAAAGAGCAGCAAGTGTCCCTACTCAGAAGAGATCTATAATCTTGATTTTTTTTTTTCCAGATATATAATGTTTTTCACATTCAGAAAGCACTGATGACCTTATTTGGGTGCAGAACTTGATCAAAGCACATAGCTGACTCAGCCCAACTCCTCATCCTCCTCATGTCCCAGAGGATCTAGGGCACAGCCTCAGTTATTAAGGCTACCTCATATCAAAACATAAAATAGTTTAGGTCACACACCACCATAGTCAAATCACAAGTTATATTGATGGGGTATCTATAAGGTAGGACTGCCAGTCACATCTTGCTAAGCAGCACAAAGGCACTAATGTCTCTCCTACATTTTTACACAGAGAACCTCTGAGCAGTCATTCTTTAAACAAAAAAAACCCATTATGGACTTAAAGCAGAGCTTCCTCAAAAAGGTGATTCACACAGAAACAGACAAAATGATCATTTGCAGTCAAGTGCAGACTCATGGAGATGCTGACTCAGAGCTTTTCCTATGATTTCCAGGCTTAAAGGCATGGCTGATAACGTAATTGGCATTGCTCCAGTCATTAATTATACCTGATCATTCTTGAAATTGGTGAATAACACAGCATAATTTTAACATCTTGTGCCTCAAAAGCTTACCAGCCTTTGAAATGAAGGAGCTCTAAAACAGTCCCTCTTCAGTGGATCTGGATCTACTCCATCATTTCCACTGAAGCTGTTATTACTGGCAATAACACAGCTTTGCTAAGACCAGAAGAGAACATAAAGAGATTTTAAAATGCAAATGTGTGAAAAAACACCACATGGAAAAACAGAAGTATCGATGCCAAACTGCTAGAATAGCCATTTCATAACAGTTTAACTGGGGAAAGCAAACCTCTCAGGACAGGTCAAGGGAACTCAGGCCACTGTTAGTGATCATGACAGAGCTCCATAGACTGCCACATCATTAGCTAGTTTCCAATACCTTCTTGTGCAAACTTGAGCAGAAAGTACCTTTGAGGATTGACATATTCTTATGAGCTAGTCCATTACCAAAGGAAGATGAGAGATCTTCCTGTTTTCTTAAAGCAGGCAAACACCATGGCTGCTCTAAGGCCCCAAGTTGACGTTGGTGTAGTACTGAAACTTATATCTATTAAATATTTTACGTATCACAGAGACAGATGTCTCTTCCAAATCTACCTATCTTAGCTTAAAATAAGTCTTTCTCCAGACAGTAAGAATACCTCAATGAGACTTGATATGCACTCCCCAATCTGGACTTAAGGTCAGCTTTACAAGCTTTCCAAAGACAGGCTAACCCAGCACATCTGAAGCTGACTGAGGAGCATTAGCATATGCCTGCCTCTGGTGACCTGCAAAGTTATATTCCTGCAATCAACACAGGGTTTAAGGCAAACAGTGAGGGCTGTGATTTCTTCAATTGTCTCTTGGAAAAGTGGACATTGATTTGCAGTTTCTCTTAAAGCATGTACACTCTCTCTGAGAGAGGAGGCATACAGCATACCATAATGGAAGGATCCATTAGGGACATTTGGTTTTCCACATTTAATTGCAGAGGTAAAATGATTCTGCTTCTACACTGTAAGAGTTGCCTTCCCTGTTTAGTATCCTCTCTATCACATTAGCTGCAACAGGATATTAAGTTCTTACCAAATAAAACCATTTACCATTGCACTCTAATGGACTGAGCACATGCAGTAGGAAGGGCAGAGTGATTTATACTGGAGACTTACAAAGCTTTGTGTGCTCCATTGGGGCAGAATGAGAGACTACATTTTGAGCTCCCACATTTTAAAATCTATATTTGCATTAAATGTTCACCCCTTGCTAACATGTCTGTGTCCTTTTGCTGCTGTAACCTCTGATGCACCTCAGAAGCATTAGCATGTAACTTGGTAAAGCTTCACCGAAACCACGAGAATTGTTCAAGAATAACATTTAATACAGAGAGGTAAGCTTGCAAATGGTAATAAGCATAAAGCTTCATCAAAATCAGAAAAGCCAGATTGCAAATACACAGTTGATATCGAACCTCTCCTTATACTTACATGGCATTGCATGGTATATACTGGGCCAGTACTGCCCACTGTCTCTCTTCAGCCAGACACGAACTGTTCTACAAAAGAAAAAACACAACATACATGTAAGGAAGAATGGAAAAGTAACCATGAATGAAAACAAAGTGGTGACGATGAATGTACAAGACCTTCTTAAAAATTAAAGTATTTTACTGAGAGGGAAAATAAACGTGCAAAATCCTACAGCAGCCTGATACAACAAACTCAGATTAACCCCTGTAAGGTGATGAGGGTAGACCACTCCTTGGTTCCATGTAGTATTCAACATCCTGGCTGAACATGCCACAACAGTATTTGGAAACGGCTATGCTTTTTTGTTCTTTGCCTTTACAAGGACTTGAACATGACTGTTCATTCAATGCTTCACATGAGGATTTGGGACACCATATGTAGACCAGGAAAGTATTCCTGTATCAGCACTTCCAGTGCTCTGCAGAAGCCTTCCCCACTGGCACTCAGGGTAGGCCTTGGTCCATCTGCTGCCTGTTGTTTCATTGTTCTGCTTCAGGAAAACCTCTAAGAAAAGGAATGAGGTTCTGAGATTTTCAGCTTCTAATTACTAAGATTACATCTATCTGTGTCAACAATGAGCTTTTCAGCTTCAGGACCTTCCTCTCTCCTCAGTGCACTCAGGATGCTATGAAATGTCGATTGAGCATGAAGAAGCCAAACTCTTATCATTCTCTCAAGAGGATGACTAAGGCAACAAGCAGCCTTGCAGTTCTCTGCCCCATCAGTTTGCAGCTGCTGTCCTTGAATAGGGGCACTTAGAACCAAACATTGCTACCCACAAACACATCGGCATTTTCCTTTCTGCTAGAAGATCTTCCCAATCTATCTCAGGATTACGTTTGCTTTCTCATAACCATATTATAGTGTCAGCTCCCTGACACTAAATCCATGCCCTTCAGACACTTGAGACATTTGTTGCTTGTTTCCTTAGCAGAGGATCTGGACTGATGATGTACCACCTGAGTCATTAAATATTTATTATTTCAGTCCTCATTGTCATTTGCTTGCTTTGGTCCAATCTCTGAAGCTTCTTTCTAATTGATGCTCTCTCTTAAATTCAGTTCGTCAGTTAATTTCATCAAAACATGCGTAGTAACAGTGCCAACAGTTAAAGAAGCAGGCAGCCAGTAATCTCCTGCCTGTTCCTGCATAGCCCATGGTCACCTCAATTATAGCCACCTGTTACCTGCTTTGCTGTTCCTCTAATCTTTATCATATCCAATGTTAACTAGTAAACCCTAAATATAATACTGTATTCCATGCTTTACTGATTTACGCCAAATGTATCAACCTTCTCTAGAAAATGTAGTTATCCAAGAGAGCATTACGTTAGCATAGGACAGTAGATTTTGACCCATCACCCACTTCTAATTAGTCTTTTCCACCAAAGTCAGTATGCAACAGCAGATACAAGAGGGATCTTAAAAAACTATTGTTTCTATAACTTCCACTTGATACTATTATGGAAAAAGAAACAGTATATGAAATATGGAAATATAGCTTCTTGAGGAGACTACATGGTCATTAGTACTGTTACCTCATTTTCATGGAAAAGCAGGTTGCAGACCTTTTTGGTCAGAAAAAAAAGTTCAGAACTATAACATTATAATATAATATAAATTGATCTAAGACATTACACACACAAATGCAATCTGAACAGAGATGCCATGCAACATAATAAAGCAATTCAAGAATTAGTAATCTATCCTTCAAACTTCAAGCCAAAGGCTTGTGTTCCAAAAGCAGGTTTCTGTTCATCTTACCCTTCATTCAAACCCTTTTTACAGCAAATAATTCAGAGACCTTGTTTATTTAGGCACTACACAAGCTGAATCATTTTAGAAATATCTCATGCATACACTTTGACACAGTATGTTGCTCCAAAAACTAAAATTTCACTGGGTCAACAAGTCCCATGGTTAGAAAGCTCTCACAACTTACTCAAAACATACAACATTCAGTATCATTATCTCCTAAGTCTAATGGCCTTTTTGTGTCAAACACAGCAGCAGATCTTCAGCAGCTATGAAATAAAACCACCAATACTTTTTATAAGAGACAATTCACCAGCCTATAACAACACCGTCACATTTTTAATTGTGAGAGGGGCAAATCCTCCTGTCATTTCTCCCTGTAGCTAACCATAGCTGTTGTCAGAGTGGCACTCTGCATCCAGATCTCAGTACACGTGTCTGGGAAGACATAGCCACAGGACCGTATTCAAGGTTTGGGTGCAAAACCTTTGGGTCCACCTTTGCTAAGAAGCTGGTCATTGTAATTATGGAAGTATGTCAACTTCTCTGTTTCCCAAAACAGAGGAGCTCTTAGTCATGTGTTTATCCTCGACAAGTGAGGTGACTGTGGGAATAAATTAACACGCACAAAAAAATAACAGGATGAATCACAAGGAGCTGAAATAACTCAATACAAGACAGCCCTGAGGAGGTGCACTAATATCCTGTGAGAGACCTGTCTTTCTTGACCATCCCAATCTATATATTTGAGTGCTATCAGTTTCAAAATCCCTAGGCTTTGACAAGGTTGCCTCTCCTCTGCTTTAAGGCTCTGGCAAATAACAAACCCAGCACAACATCTCACAGATAATTCAACTTGCTTGAAAAGGACTATGTAGAAGAACAGATGTTTCAAAAGCTGGAAGAAATAAAAATGACTTTTATTTGCAAGAATGGCAATCATTTGGACACTATATGTTGGTTTTATTGTTGTTTTTTAAACTGCAGTATACAATTATGTCAATGTTAAGACTTCTAGATAAATTATATTGAAACAAAAAGTATTTTCTATTTAAGTTAAAAAAATCCAAACAAAAAACTGGTGTAGGTTCCTAATTAAGAGTGAAACTACTTTAACTAGTACAGGCCTGTAGGTACACAGTATGCTCATTTCTTTATGTAGTCAAATATATTTCCATTCAATGACTAATTCATGCAAAATGAGAAACAAAGCATTCTAAGAATAAAAATACCATGAAAAGACATCATCTAACTGTAAGGTGTGTGCAAAGGCACATAACCGGCAAGCCAAGTTCATGTAACTCATTACAGAAACACCATCTCCTCAGTAAATAATTCTAAATAGAGAAAAACAAAAATACCTTATAAACAATGTATTTTAAAATTAAGGACAATTACTATGCATATCTTTAAAACAAACATTTAAAAGTTATGTTAAGCATTATAATGGAATTCCAATATCTATCTATAAGATGACATAAAAGACTAAAAATTCTTCCTTATATAATGGTGACTCATAAGTTTCTTCTTTTAAGATCAGTGGAATAGATAAAACATTTTAGTGAAAGAAGAAAAACTGATTTCAGTTCATTAACCTTTTCTAGGTAACTTTTTCTCAAAGTAGATTCAAGCTAAAGAACAAACAGCCCCAACTACTGAATTTGGGAGAAGCCACATTTTCTTGGAAGAGCACATCTTTTTTCAGCTGCAGTTGTGTACATTTCCGTATACTTCTTTAAAGAATACTACCCACTAGATGAGAAACCCAAAGCACTTGAAGCTTCTAAAGAATGCAAGGAAAAAACCCAAACATGAACAAAAATAAGCTTTTTTTTATAGATACATGGCATGAAGAGTACTTGCTGCTTGCATGGTTTCTGGACTTAAACACAGTACCTATCCAGCTCAGGATCCATTCTTCAACTGCACTACAGTGATGCAGTCATCATGGAAATGAGCTGTCCCTTCACTTTGTTATCAGTAAATTGACTTGGAGAGATTTTTAGAACCTGTCAAATCAATGGATATTCTTCCAGTCTTTTCATAACAGAGGTGATTTATTTTTAAAGAAGATGGGCTATACAGAAATAATTCTGCCATATAAAAGACAGACTATGTCTTCAAATATTAAGGGAATGTGAAAAATATATAGTTTAAAAGAAGAATTGCTTTCCTCTGGTACACTCAAGAGAATGTGTCTCAAGTCCAAGTGGCTGTCGATGTACCAGCAGGTCTCAAGCACACTGCCAGGCTGTGTACATGTGCAGGAGGCAAGCTTCATCTGAATGCCTGCTGCTCACAGAGGTGCCTATGTCAATAGTGGAACATCCACCTTGGCATGGCAGCTCTGTGCTCCGTCATCTACAGAAACTTACTCAGTCACTGGTATGTCATTTCTGATAAAGATGTTTTGCTCATACAAACCATAGTTTATGCATTTAGGCTATACTGTGCTCCATGAAAGTCCACACAATGCTGCCAGGCTGCATGCAAGATTCTCTACTCCATCCCTACTCTGGCCTAAGCAATCACCTCACTGCTGCATGACTCAGTGTCACTTGGAGTGGTGGAGTTAAGTTTCTGTGAGTCTACCTGTCTCATAGGCAGGGATCCTCTTTTCTCCTTGGTGTCTTCCATGAAATTAATGCAAAAGACAAACACTGGTGTTGCATACAGTACAGACAGATTGAAGACTGTAAGCACTGTCTCAAGATGTTTGTAAGTTACAATACTGTGAACTCTGTTGTAGGGAGATCCATTATGTCAAGAAACAAGTTAACCCTATAACACTCCACTTCTCCAGAACATCCATAAACCCACCAGTTCTAGTTGTACAGTGTGAGTGAAGAAATCTGATATATCAGTTTCCCATAACAGATTCCCTCCTCTCCTGTTTGTGAATTTTTTCCTTTCTTACTTCTGTCTTTACAAACGTTTCTCTTTGCTACTCTTATTATGTTTATTTAAGCTTTTGCTGTTACCAATGCAGATATTTAGTTTCTAGAGAGACGTATCTTTTGAATAGTAGCATTTGAAGTCCAAGTACACCACTGACAGTTTTATTGCTTTTAGCAGAGACACACTGTCATTAGAAGTAGGATAAGGAAAATTATTTAACAACTGCATTAAACTGCATTATACAGTACTATAAACCCCTCAGCTTCTCCAGGGACTTTTGTGAGTAAGAGATGCGAAAAGATTCTGGCTCCCACCAGTTAATGACACGGAGTGCTACTGTGATTTTCTGAAAGAATAAAAGATCTTTCATGCCT